TAGTTACCGGTGGTCTTTTGGGCGGCCTCAAATATGGCATACCTGTGGAGTGTCTAGGGATGGGGGGCTAACATCTCGGGACAACAAAAGCAGCTCCTGTGTGCTAAGCGGAGGGGTTCGACTGGCGATCCGCCGTCTTCAGTGATTTTCACAAACGGGGGCCGGGCTGACCTACGACACCCAATCGGTTGGTCGAGTGATAGGAATCAAGTGAACAACCAACAGGTATGGTGGCGCCCAAATAGATAGTGGTAGGGTGTCCAAAACATTTTGATATACTAAGTTTGGCGCTTCTACATGGTACCTAAAATCCTCCCATCTACTGTATGTTTTCCGTCGAGGCAGCTGCGCAATGCTGCGCCCCTCTTCCTTTTGCCGCGGCCAGGGAGAACGCTTTGCAGTACTGGACCTTGAGGCGCGCATTGCCTGGTTGCCTGGGTCACTGTGAAGATTGTCGCTCTGGGTCTTGATGACGTCATGTCTCCACGAGAATGTTTGGACATGTCTCCAGGTGCCAACCCTGCCGCCCGACCTATCTCATAGAGGCATAAGGCCGGAGTGCCGGTTCGAGAGCAGTTGATCTTGCGTTACCTGCCCTGGTAAAAAAAAGGTTCCGTGCCTGTCATGTTTTGAGACAAGTGGGACACATGAGTCGACCGAGGAAGGCGTTTTTGCTGGAAAACGGATGCACTCACCCGATGCGAAACGAGGCGAGACGAGGCGGTGCCTTGGTGCCTTGACCGAGGCAACGCCTCACACCATGATTTGGTTGGATATCCCGATGTCATCCGACTCTTTGTCAACAAAGCACCAGAGGGTCATTGGTTTCTTTAGCCAAGATGGAAAGGACATCTGGTGAAGGACCACCATTGTCATGGCCTGGACGTTCTGTTGCACATTGCTTTGTTCCAAGACATGCATGGCTGCTGGTTGCACCTGAATATACCATCCACCTCTTGAGATACAAAAGCGTTGACCCCCCAAAAACTTGCAGTGCCTTGCCATGAAGCCTGGCTTGCTCCATGAAAAAACGCTGGCTTCTTCCACGACCCCCCCCCCCAAAAAAAACATGGGAGTCAAAACCACGTCGACCACGACGGCGACCGACACACGCGCGTCGTCCGTCCGTCGATGAAGGACCGCTGCGGGGCACGGGCGGTGTCCGCTGCGGTGGCCTGGCCGCAGTGAACGGCGTGACGACGTTGCCGGCGAGACAGCAACTGATTACTGACGACGTTGGGCCACATGGTGAAGTCTGAATTCGAGTGGCAACAGCGGACAGTTTGGCTTCATTCAGCAGTGAGGGCGTCGAAGCCTTGATGTTGCTTCAGATGTTTTGTCTGTCAATCTCCACGAGGTGTAGGGCCAGCCACTTTTACGGAGATGCAGCCGGGGTTGCCTGGCGCGTGCCCCCAGCTGTGTGACACAATTTCACGGGGGCTAAGCCTCTCAGATCCACGTTTAGCCAAAGGGAAACCACATAAATCATCACCAAACACTTCATTCTTGAGATAAAATTTGACTATGATAGATGTTGTCCTTGGGATTCATGATGGTGTCTTGACCTCAGGTGGTATGATGATCACAACCTCACAAGCATTAGCTGCAAGTTCTTGTCCTGCAAGCAGTTCCACAGTCGATGTTGACTTAGCACTTCATGCACCGACGGTGGGTTTTTTTCATCAATGGGAAGGCCTTACAGAAAAAAAAGGATGGTCGACTCCAACTTCTTACTGCAGGAACTCAAAGTCATGTTTTCACCTCGAGTTCCCCCTTAGCTGGCTTCACCGAATGCGCCGACACTGAGGCAATGATGCGAAGGCACTGAGGCGAGTGTCAGAGACTTGCTGAGGTGGAATAGGGTTCAGGGAGTGACTGAGCATTGTGGAGGGGTTTGATTAGTTTGTTTGCTTGGAGGCCATCGCTATATAGTAGGTTGAAGGCCATTGCCATTAGTTCTATGTTCAAAACGGTGGATCATACTCCGGTGGTTGTTTCATACTCCGGGCAGGTGTCAAACCGATGCATGGCTCCGAAGCGTCCGAAGGCTCAGCTTGTCTCACCCGCCCAGCTCTGAGACGCGGCCAGCTGGCCAAGCTGCCTCCCAAGCACGTGCCTCCGAAAACCATGGGCTGCGGCTCTTCGGTAACAACTCCAGGCGATGCACCATCCCCCGAGGCTTCCGCTGCAGCCGTGGTTCCGGCGCCGCGGCGCCAAGCGCCGTCCCGAGCGAAGTTTCCGCGCGGCCTGTTTTCCATGCAGGTTTCGAAGTCGAGTGGAAAGGTGGAGGAGCAGATCCGGGAGGTGCATCGGATTTTGCACTCACAAGGTTATGATGTGCTCATCGTGGATGGAGAGGGGCAGAGGGAACATCATTTGAAGAAGATCAAGGAGGGAGGTGTGTTGCTGGCAGTGTGCACGAGCGACTATGCTGAGAGCGATGGTACTGGTGCTCCAAACAACAGCTATTTTGACCTGAATTTTGCGCACGAAGAGGAGATTCCCGTTTGGCCTCTGAGGATGGAAAACATTTATCCACCCATACCTGCTTGGGGCACCCGAAATTCCAAAGACCCCTCCGGCGATGGTCCGGCCCTGATCGCTTTGGCGATTGGCCCCCACAGCTCTTCCTTGAAGTATTTGGATTGTCGCGAGAAGACGGCAGAAGACATCGCCAAGTCCATTGCAAAAGGCCTCATGAAACCGGGTGAAGCCGACGGCGAAGCCGACGGCGAAGCCGACGGCGAAGCCGGTCGTAGCTCAGCCGAGTGAGGGCGATTCTGTGAGCTTTGGCGCCCGTTGTGTACCCCCTTTCAAGTGTTAGAACTGCTTGTAAAAGGATGGCATTCCACGCTTGTAAAAGGATGGCGCACGTTTTGTCAGGGCTTCAAGCATCTAACATGGGGATTCTAACAAGAAAGTGAAACTAGGGACCAGTACCATTGAGAACCAGTGGGATGTTTGCTGATGTTGGTGGTGATCGATTCCACGAGACCATCGGTTGCACCCAATAGGGCAAAAAACATGCCATTTGGAGGCCACTATATATGGATGGATGAAATATGATGAAATGGTGGAGGTTCTCTGGTCCACAGTCAAAATCATATGTTCTTCAGTGTATATTTTGTTTGGACAAAAACTATATCAACCTCTATCAACCATATAACCAGCAGTTGATTTTGATGCACTGAAAGCTGTTGGGTCACCTGGTGCGCCTTGACACACCTGGCCGTCCAGTACAGTCTGACGAGTTTGGTTTACGTCAAGCCGGCCACGAACAAGTCGTCGGAGTCTTCTTGACTTTCAGAGAACACTTTCTGGGAGATAGTAACAAAGGGCATCGCTACGAACGGAGCAAGGACGCTACTAGTAGCTCCTGGCCTTACTACTAGTAACAAGAAGCTACTAGTAACAAAGGGATCACTCTCTTTCATTGAACTCGATGGAGGTAGATGTCATCTAAAGCCAAAGTAGACCTGAGACCGATAGTGAGGGACAGTACGAGGGAAAGATGGAAAGGAAAGTGACGATTTAAATAGCAACTGGTGCTGCTTCCTAACCTGCACCACTCACGTTTCACAGCTCTTCGTAACTTTGTGGCAGGTGCGAGGAAAGACATGGGGGAGGACGGATGGGGCGGACTTGGAGACGGGTGCGACGGCGGCTTGCGCCCATCCATGTTCATTCATGTTCATTCCAACGTGGTGAACTGAGAAGAAAAGCTGCATGTTTTCTGCATTTTGTTTGACTCCATGTGTCATCCATTGAGTCATCCATGTGACGAAGTGGGGCCTTTTCTACCCACAAGAAGCGGCCGCCCCGTCCTAACAAGCAGGATGAGTCGGGACCAGGCACTGACCAGGCACTGACTGGGCAGTGTGGGACGTCCGAAATATGAAGAACTGGGAACTGCCACGAGAAATGGTTGGTTGGTTGGTTGATTGGTTGATTGGTTGGTTGGTTGGTTGATTGGTTGATTGGTTGGTTGGTTTGTTCTGGTTTGGGTGGGATGAATAGACGAGCGATAGCTGACTTGATCTGATGAGAAGGGGTTGAAAGGGCGTGGTTAAGGCATATGGCATATGAAGGCTATTATAAAAAATACGGCCTCGGATTAGAAAGACAGCCTATTGTCTCCAGGGATATAAATTTGTTTAGGTATCTAAAAAGAGATATCACTGGGGTTGAGGGTACGTATATAAGCAAAACACTTTTGGTCAGCTTCCATCAGTGGATTTGTATGCTTCTTGAACTCAACATGACTTCCTCCGTCTCAACGGAGACGCTGCCGCTTCAGCTGTTGGCGGACTGGTCGTCGTCAGAAACGGGGATGGTCGAGTTGCTTGCAGCCAGTTTTTGTGATCGAGTCGGGTTGTTCCTCGAACCTCGCTTTCTCCGCGGGCCGGTCGTACCCGTTTTCTCCACTCGCGAAAGACTTGTGGGTCGAACTCGACTCGGATTTGGATCAAAAAACGGGAACGGCCATTTTCCGGTCGTTTTTCGACTCGTTTTCCGGTTGTTTGGTGTGGATTTGCTTCACACCGGAAACGACCCGAAGCTGTGAACGGCACGGCCGTTTGCTTCGGCCCGACCCAGGGGCTCCCAACGTTGCGCGCCGTTGCGAACGTAGCGACCGAAGCTTCGGAATCGTAGCTTCACCTGAAGCTGTTAGCTAGATCGAAGCATTCTTTGTTTTTTTGCATCACCCGTTTCGTAGCTCGATCCGTCCGAACAAGGGTCGAACTCGTCTCATCTCGTCCAGGCGGCCTCAGCCACGCAAGGACGACTCAAGGTGCGGAAAGACACCTGAGCTGTGATGTCATGCACCTGGTAACTGGCTGCTTTTGAAGTAGGTCATACTGTACTTGTCGTGGTTCACTCAGCCAGAGACAACATCCATGAAGTGCTGATCATCCAGTGCTGCAAACAAACCAAACTGTACACAGTGGTTTTTGGCCAACTAGCTTTAAGCCACACAGTGGCATTCCTGGCACGTCGCGATGGTCGAGCGTGTGGACAAGAAGAAGAAGTATAGCTGCAGTGCAGATCCGGCCATGGTGAAACATCAAAGGAAGCTGGAAAAAGCCGAGTGGGATGTGAAGCAGTTCTTGATGAAGAACAACTTCCCGCAGAATCCCAATGGCCAGAAGGGTAAGTTCTTTGTGACCTTTCCACTGCATGAAGCAGTGAAACAGAACAATCCATACATCACGTGGGCACTTCTCATCTTCGGTGCACGTCCCAAAACCAAAGATTGGTGGGGCCGAACGGCTTACGAGTACGGTGGTCGAGCAGTCCGCGAAGTCTTTCAGAAGCTGGCTATCTCTCCCACATCCCCGAAAAGGTCGGGTTCCAACCTGATACGCTTTCCACCGCCATACGGTTGGGAGCGTTTCTTCGCAAGGCTGGGGAATGATCCCTTGACCGTACCAAACCGTGAAGAACTATGGTTGCAGGAACTTGGAGACGGGGCATTGCGCTGAAGATGTTCCTCGTGCTTGTTTTAACAATTCGGTGATCAACCGTGTTCCGTTTTAGACTTGTTGGCAACAACCGGCCTTTTCGGTTCAGTCTTCATTTTCTCCCCGTACTACCACAAGATGGATGTCTCGTCATACTTCCAACAAGGACTTGGTGACTTGGGTATCTGGGGGGGGGCTCTTAAGAGCCAGGCTCTTCAGACACGCAGACGACTCACTTGTCCTGAGGTTTCGGCTTTGCGCGCAGATCTTGGGTGACTTGCCGTCTCTGCTCGCCTAAACCCGGAGCATCTCACATCTATCCGGAGCGTCCCTGATGTAGCTAGTAGCAAGAATGCTCCTAGTAGCGTCCTTGCTCCTAGTAGCGATGCCAGGAGCCCCGTTCGTAGCTTCTTGTTCCTAGTAGTACCCGAATATGTTGTCATTTGAGCCAGGAGTTTTGCTTGAAATTAGATGAGTATATACAAAACATGAGCTATGAAAACATGGTGTCAAAACCTTAAGAGTACAAAAATGGCTTCCCTTCAATCTTAAGGATTTGCCAGGAACCTATGCTCCACTATGTAGACAAATCACCTTTGGGAATGGTTGTGTGGGTGAATGTAGGTCGATCATTTTATATACAATATTAACTATCCCAGACACTCCATGCATGGCGTATAGGGTGGTTGACCTGGAGTCAATGTACGTAAACATGCCATGCATGGAGTGCTTGGGTAGCGAAGAAATCATCCACCAGTGCAGCATTCAATCGACGGTTTAGGCTGAGCATTCAATCAGGGGAATGCGATATCGTGCCAAGCCGGTGACAAAGACAGGTGACACAGGGGGCGCCGTCTCCACATGCTTTGTGACTGAGCTGTCAGCGTTTCGATTGATGTTACTTAGTCAATGAGAAAACAATTGAGATGCAAAGATCACTCTGCAGCAGAGGGTATCGACCCCACAAATTTGCCTTGCGCCAGGATTGCAGGATTAAACATACCGAGGTTACCTATTTGGGATGCATTAATCGTTGGAGCTCGCAACACACGAAGGGTGGTGTGAATCAAGAGCCAATTTGTAAGAGGTTCTAAGGTTTTTTGCTATGTTCTTCAGTCCAGCGTGTGCCTACCAAACTGACAAACAAGTAGGATTGGCTAGCCGGCTAGCTGATGGAGAATATTCAGTACCGCGTGAACATGGTGGGACTCATTGATTCATTGTTTGCTCTTGGTATGCACTGTACTGTCGGATGTCGGGATGTGAATCTGATGTGCGGGTATCAAAACCGTTGTGGAGAGTCTGTTGTGGCCAGTAACTTGCAGTTTTGAAGAATGGCCCCTCCAATTCCACCCCCAGCCCACGAACCTTGCCCCAGAAAAAGCCGACTCGCATGGAACGGGGGTGTCTCCCGCAAATCCAAACCGTTTGGCGACCCTGCGAAGGTCGCGACCGCGACTCGCGACCGGGACTCGCGACCGGGACTCGCCGTACGCACCGAAGGGAACCCATGCTTCGCTAGGCTTGAAACCACGTAGCACGGGCACGTCTTGGACCGAAGCTGATAGATAGATAGATATAGGGATACGATACGGCTGTATCACCGAGGGGACACAACACGGACAGCCGCAGCACAGGGAGAGGGCCAAAGCTGTCCTTTTGGTGCCCAAGATCGTTGCCTTTCGCCGGTCATGCACGAGAGAGCCAATGGTATGACAAGAATTCGTTTTGCGTGAACTGAGTCATTGTCCTTGATTGGTCGCTTGGGTGTTTTTGTTTCTGTTTTGCAGGGTTCAACGTGTGTGTGTGTGTGGGTATGCTTGTGTGTGTGAAGTTTTAAGTCTTTAAGAGCCCATCTTGCTGTGTTGATGATTACAATTCTGCAGCTCGTTCTGACTTTGCCTGGACCCAGGAACAACCCTTTGAACAACAGAGTTGCTTCTAGGTTGGAGGCCATCGCTGGTAGGTTGGAGTCGATTCTTGAAGAGGTCTTGGTGAGGGAAGTTGGACATCGATTTCATGCCATGTCACGAAAGGTAGCTTGAGCTACCTGAGTTCTCCTTGCTTTAGCAAAAATGTATTACAATCAGGAGTTGGGATTGTGCATTGAGTTTGGTCCTGTAAGAGTTGATTCTGTTCGTCGGGCCCCCCCCCCTGGATCAAATCCCCCCTGCGCTGGTTCACGCCGTCATGGACTTCTACCAGGGTTACTTGTGATTGCCTGCTACCTTTCGTTCACCCCTCCTCTCTCAAGTTTGCCTTCCGCAGAGATTCGCCAGATGTCTTAAGTCTACTAAGTCTACTATCAATCAATGTTTTTAGTGTGTTTTTGCCACGACCAACATGGCACGACATGCCTCAAAGCAACGCTGGCCGCTGGGGTGCACCACTCGACCGGATCGGCGGGACTGGGCGACCCACCGGCGGATCCGCAAGACCACTGGATGGGTTGGGAGATGATTGGGTCATGAGCACTTAAGCTTATTAATCATTGATTCACTATCTTTGTAGTAACAAGGGCATCGCGAATCGCTACATGAAAACACCAAATGTCACTGCCATGGCTTGAGATGATGCAAGTGTTTCCTCCATCGAAGCATATCGAAAGCCCCGAAACTGGCCCTCCCCAGTTGAAGTCGGTCCTCGGTTTGACAAAGATGAGCACCGAACATGCGTGGGAAGAAGAATCAAAGTCCACAGAGAAAGAAAGAACCCGATGTGATGCCAACTCCACGTTTTTCCTCGCATGTTGTCCGGCCCTAATCTTCAAAGGCTAAGTTTAACTTCGACGTTGTTTCTGTCTATGTTTAACCAGGTTAAACTTCGTCGTTCTGCGGAGTCTGTTCTGTTTAAGACAACTAACATGAGTAAAACTTGCACTGAGGTGTACAAGTTTAACTTCGACGTTTCTCATTGGCTAAACTTCGACGTTGGAAGTTCTGGATTTGTAGGCCTAGACCATCCTATAGAGTCAAGGGATTCATTCTGTTCTACTCAACCGCTCAATTCAAACCATCAAACCCAAACCACCAAATCGGGCGGCCATTCCGTCAGAATCAGAGCGGAGTTGAACATGGACATCACTGGTTTTTTTCGCTGTATGGAATTCCTCAACTTCGTTCGAATAATCAAAGTACACTTCCGATGGATTTGGCAATTGATCAATTTCTCTGTCCAAATCCAAAAGTATTCAAATTGAATGGACGAGCAAAGTATTCATTCAATTTTCGCCCAAAAGTCCGAAGCCTCTAGTCGACTCAGATTTCAGCCCCACGCAGAGCGCGGTGGCCGAAGCACGGCGGTCGTGGCTGGTCTTTATAAGAGCCTCTTGCGATCCCGAAGTGAGCAACATGCGACTCATTTCCGAGCAACATCTCAGGAGAATCCTGGTGAAACCATTTGCAACTCTCACTTTCGGTTGTTCAATACGGTCTGACGACTATAGTGATGCGCACGACGAAAGTTCCACCGAACGGTGCCCAAAAGGCTCGAACGAGTTCCCACCGAACTTCGTTCCGCCTCACGTTCGGGATCGATGGAATTAGAAGGCGCCCTGTCCGAACTGCTCGAACGTTCGAGAGGTGGAAAAACATCGATGTGGAAAACCAATGTTGCATGTAATTGCTTTCTGTTTTCGCTTCTGATTGGTCACAAGAGCAGAGCTTTGCGCCTGATTATCTTGACAGCAGTTCGTTTTGCGCCCAGCCCACCAGGCCTTTTTTTTGCTAATTTGATCGGCGAGTTGGCAAACGCAATGTGTGGCCACTCGAGATTTGTACGCTGACACGCATTGTCCGCAATGCTGTGCAGAGACATGACAATGAGATGATTGTCAGACAGCCAAGGCATTCCAGGTGATCCTCAAAAGCCCGTTCGCGCCCGGATGTGTCACATAAGTCACATCATCGCAGGGCTTTAGACCGTCCTTGAGTTCTAGAATGTTCTAGAAGATGGATGTATTTGCACAAATAATAATATACATATAGCTAGTACAAATATGTACAAATAAAACCTATATAAACATGTCTTGTTTTCCCTATATAGATTAGCCAGAGGTCAAACCCTCAACAGGGAATCCAAGGACCAAGAACCGGAGAAGATTCATGAAGAATCTGAGGAAGATGGGCGTGCTCAATGATTTTTAATCGCACATTTCAAGCGTACAAGTGCGAGAGTGGCACACATAGGCAGTTCGCTTCCGGCACTGCCGACAAACATAGCCATAGCCCGGCCCTGCAAGTTCATCATTGATGAAGGTCAACACGGATGAGTCCAAATTTGCGTATTCCAGAGCCAACGACATCCAACGACACTTGTATCCCAAACGGAATCGTAACTATTTCCCTACATGCATCGATGGTTCAAAAGTGGAGCCCCCATCCGTGCCACATCAGCAATCCCACTTGAAAGCACTTCGGAAGTTAGAGCAAAAGTTCCCGAAAAGATGTCTCTTGGTGACATCTACTCCACCTGACAAATGGTGAGTGATACATATATCCCCATGCTTCCATAGGCTATGCTTGGTATATAGTCGATCGCTGCTAGCCCATATCAGGTTTGCTAGACTATACTGAGGCATTTCCTGCTACAGTCTTTTGGGTGTTCCCCGTATACTCCTTTGAGGCTTCGCAGTGTATAGGCTTGCTCACTGTCCCGAGCAGCTGAATGAAGAAGACTTCTCAAAATCCGATCATCAAAATTGGCAGTGCCTTTGGCCTCGAAACCTCCGCTGAATATTGCATGAAACATTGGATTGGCGTTTTCCCAGCTATTCCTTTTCGTACTGTACAAGGAGGCGACGGGTCCCAGCGACGACTGACGACTCGGTCGACCCGACTCTCCACACAGTCAGTTATAACTAACCTGGTAGCACCGAGCACGTAGAGCCGGACGGGCACGGCTGTCCACTCCACGCCGTGCGGCACGTCGGCCCGCCGCACGTCGGCCGAACACCGGCTGAGCCGACGAACAAGTCGTCGGAGTCTGGACTTTCTGGGAGATTGTAACAAAGGGCATCGCTACGAACGGAGCAAGGACGCTACGAACGTAGCTCCTGGCCTTACTACTAGTAACAAGAAGCTAGTAACAAAGGGATCACTCTCTTTCATTGAACTCGATGGAGGTAGATGTCATCTAAAGCCAAAGTAGTAGACCTGAGACCGATAGTGAGGGAGCTAAGTACGAGGGAAAGATGGAAAGGAAAGTGAATTCGAAATAGCAACTGATGCTGCTTCCTAACCTGCACCACTCACGTTTCACATTGGCTCTTCGTGATTTTGTGCTCTGTGGCAGGTGCGAGGAAAGACATGGGGGAGGACGGATGGGGCGGACTTGGAGACGGGTGCGACGGCGGCTTGTGCCCATCCATGTTCATTCATGTTCATTCCAACGTGGTGAACAGCTGAGAAGAAAAGCTGCATGTTTTCTGCATTTTGTTTGACTCCATTCAAAGACCAAAAGATACCCCAGCCTTCAAAGACCAAAAGAAACCCCAGCCTTCAAAGACCAAAAGAGACTCCAGCCTTCAAAGACCAAAGACTCCAGCCTTCAAAGACCAAAAGATACCCCAGCCTTCAAAGACCAAAAGATACCCCAGCCTTCAAA